GGGCAGCAGAGGTAAGCAGGGAGGGGACCCTCCTGGACCCTCATCCTCAAACCCACCCCAGTCCCATACCTGGTCTGGATGCGAGGTTTCCCACCCGGGGGTGCTCTTGGGCGGCTCTTCCTGGCAGCGGGTGTTGAAGTGTCCCCTGGGTGCTGCACCCAGCGAGCCACGGTGTCACCCTGGGCAGTGACGTCAGGGGAGGGGACGGCTGCGGTGGCAGCAAGCGGCTTCCTCCATACAGTGTGTGCCTGCAGCGGAGCGAGGTGCTTTGGAACAAACCCACCGCTTCCTTCCTCTTCACCTTCAGCCTCACCAGGGGAGGGACTGGGAGCTGGGTCCTGGGTGCTGGGACAAACCAAACGCAGGCAGACCCAGCGCTGGGGAGCAGGACTGGACCCATCCCACCAGCCTGGCTTTTTGCAACCGGAGCGGGGTGACTTTTCCCCCCATCTCTGCCTCTGCCACCCCTGGAGCAGGGCAGAAGCAGAGGAGCACAGAGGAAGTATCAGTGGGGAAACCCCAAAACCCAAACCAGCATATGAACGGCTGCCAGGGAACCTGCAGGAGGAGAGGTGCAGTGCACTCCCCATGGGTACCCCAAACCCCCTGCATCCCAGGGAGATGCACTCCTGGCATCTCTCCTGCAACCAGCACTGCCTGCATCCCTATCCCACTCCTGTCACTGTCCCCTCAGCACCGTCCCATGCCATCCTCTATTTGCCACCCCAAGCACAAAGCACACAGCTTTGCCTTGGCCCTTGTTGCCAAGCCCCAGGGCTGGGAAAACCTCCCCCAGCCCCACAGATCTGTGGCGCTGCCAAGGAGGAACTGGTGGAAGCCTTGGGAAGCGGGAACACTCCCACCTTTGAACCATTGCTCTTTGCCCTCTCCCGCTGGTGTTACTGGCAGGAATGAGGTGGCACCCTGAAGGATGCCAGAGAGGGAATGAGGCAGCATCTGAGCCCGGCTGCTCTCGGTGGGGTGGGGGAATGGAGGGGCTTAAGCCTGGGCTTCAATTTAGGCTGGAAAGGCCAAATTCTAGACGGGTTTCAAGTTTGGTCTCACTCCACAGCTTCCCTATGCCTGCAGGCGCTTTGCAAAGCACTTCTGCAGGTCACCTTCCCTCACAGGCAGGAAATCCGGGCACTTTAACCTCTTCCTTCCTGGGCAGACACATGGACAAAGCATCCAGCCGGCACGGAGCAGGAGCTGGCACCCTCTGCTCGGTCCCCAGACCAGCAGCATGGGGACAGAGGACAGGACCGATGCGTTCCCAGCAGGGCGGTGAGACCCGGACCCAGATTCCTCCTCTTCCCCCGAGTGCTCCAGCCCTTCTGGCCACACCAGGGGCACAGACTGAGCCTGGGAAACTGAGGCAGTGCTGCAAACCTCACCCACCTCAAGGCCTCAGTTCCCACTGGACACGATGCCGGGGGCAGCACGCTTCCCAGGAAAGCTTTCCAGCCCCGGCGCTGGGCAGGGGAGCTCGGAGGAGGCAGAGCAACACTCCCGGTGTTACACCGAGTTTCCTACGGAAACGATGCTTGTGCTGGCACACATCCCCTTTGGTCGGCTCAACCCCCAGCGACTGTCAGCAAGGACAGAACCCCAGAACCGCCCCCCCCCCGGACACTCAGTTCCTGCAGGTTTGATGCAAACAAGCAGCTTTCAAGCCCCACAGGCCAGGGATGGTGCTGAGCCAGGCTGCCTCCGGCTCTGCTCTCCCCATGGATGCCCTCTGCATTTCTTCCCTTAAAACCGCTCCTGGAAGCTGGAGGGAGGAGCTGGGGGGGGGGGGGGGGGGTAGAATTGAGCCAGCCCTGACTCAGCTCATGTTGGCTCTGGTGGGGACATCACCCAGGAATGACGCATGTGGAGCGTCCCTGGAGCAGGACATCCCATCCTGCTTTGTAGGTCGGGGTCTCTGCTGTGTCCTTGCATGAAGAGAAGCAGTAGCCCCTTGGGAGATGGCCAGGGCGGGCTGCGCTGGGGGTGCTGGGCTGCAGGCGAGCTCATGTGTCTTCCAGGCACATGGAAATGGGGTGGGGAAGGACACGGCTCCATGCGGAGCTAATGAAAGCCGGGAGGATTTCCAGCCCCAGATGAGCCTCTGGGAGCTGGCTCCCAGCATGGACCGGGCTGCTCTGGGTTTGGGATCCAGCCTGGAGACCCCTGGACCCCTGCTGAGCCAGGCCGGGCCCCGGGAAGCCCTTCCAGCAATCTCAGGGAGGGCCCTAAGGGCTCCAGTTCTTGAAGGGAGGGGAAAATCCCTGTGAATCCTCTGGTTTGAGCCAGGGATGTGGGTGCATGGGCAGAGGCCCCCAGCACGGAGCTGCGGGGAGGAGAGTGGAGGAGAGGGGGACAAACCAGCCACCAGCAGTAGCAAGGGCAGAGCCTGGCAGCGGGGTCACGGTGGGGGAGCTCCCCCCCCCCCCCCCCCCCCGAAAGCACACGCCAAAATCCCCCCTTGGAGGTGCAGCCAGCAGCAGAAGTGAGCACTTCTTGGGGTATTTTGGTGTTCCCTTTGCAGGGGATTCACAAGCCACAGTCCAGCCACATCCCAAGGAGAGACAGAGACAGCACCTGGGGGGTGCATAAACTTGCCCACCACCAGCCCCATGGGGGGAGCTGCCTCTTGTAGCTGAGTTTTGGCACAAGAAGTCTGCCCAGGGCCAGGCTTTGCATCCCACATCTTTGTCATCCTCCTGCTTCTCCTTCACCCACAGCTCCTGTTGTCCCCATGGGGTCTTGGGGTTGGTACTATGGATTTGGCTACCCACATGTACTGGAGTCTTCATCCACCCCAGGCACAGGACTGTGTCTCCCAGGCTCAGCCCTGGGATGGGACCAGCCCTAAACCCCCTCTTAGGACTCACTCCCGAGGCCCTTGGAGCATCCCACTGGGCAGAGGGGTGAGATGTGGGAGAAGTGCTCAGCAAAACTCTTCCCACTCCATCCCACTACAGCACTGGGAGCACTGGCAGTACTGGGAGTGGAGACGAGGAGGAGGAGTGGGGGCTGCTCTCTTTTCCTTTTGTCCCGGGGACGAGAAGCAGCGAGAATGCGGCAGGGGGACCGCCGGAAGAGACTTCGGGGATGGGGAAGTGAAGACAAAGCACTTCCCCCCCCCCACCAGAGAGCATCCCTGCTCGGCATCCCGAGCATCCCACAGCACACGGGCACGGCGGGGCTGAGCATTTCCCTTGTGTTCCCCCCCCAAACCAGCACCCCAAAATCACCCCTTGGCTCTGGCACCCCCATCACCAGCCAAGTCCCGTGGGCAGAGGGGACCGGTGGGTGGGATGCTGCCCGCTTCCGAGCTGGGGGACACGGGGATGGGGAGACAGCAGAGCCCTGACACCCCCACGCAGGGATGCTCTGCGCATCGCCACTCCTCACTCACCTCCAGAGCCTGCCGGAAAGGGAAACTGAGGCACGGCCCGGGGGCAGCGCTCGGGGCTGCTTGCAGCGGCAGAAGCAAGCAGGAAACGGGCTCCGGCTCCGCAAGCGGCTGCGGGCTGGCCCGCCCCTCCCCTCCCCTCCCCTCCTCCTCCTCCTCTTCCCTCCCCCTTTCCCACCCTGTTTCCCCCCGCCGGCGGACCCGGGGGGACCCGGGCGTCTCGGCTGCTGCAGCGCGCTGCTGCTACCGGGGGGCTGGTGCTGGGGTGCTCCGGCTTTGCTGCTGCAGTTGGGGTACCACAGAGCTGGAGGCTGAACCCACATCACCCACCCGCGAGTGGTCCCCAAGCTGCTCTGGGAGGTTTGGAGCAGCTGGATGAGGAGATGCACAGCACAACCTCTGCCTTTTGATTGTTTGGGGGGGGGGGGGTCTTTTTGTTAGTTTTAGGGTGAGAAACTAGACTTTCATAAAGGAAATACAAAGATTCAGGCGAGCAAACCAAACCACTTCACTTTCTGCCCCGGCTCTGCGCTGTACTTCCCCCCCCTCCCCCCAGCCAAAAATAGAGACCAGGAGGGAGCTGTGGTACAGGGGGACCCGCTCGGTGACAGCCCCGCACCCCAACCAGTGGCCAGAACCACCACAGACCCCGGGGGAACTTTTGGGGTGATGGGGGGACCCGGGTGGGAATGGTCCCTGTAGGGTGAAGGTACCTTAGGGCAGAGGATGGAGCCGCTGCAGTCACTGAAGGTCACTCCTGGCCTGGTGCTTTGGGGTGGTTTTGGGTGCCGGTGTCCTCAGGGTGCTGCCGGACACTGGGCTCCGGTGACACACGGGGACAACCTGCCACGAGGCTGGGGATGGTGACTCAAGGGCACGGGGCGGGGGTTATGTCGCCGTGAGTCACCCGTGGCACCGCCGGTGGCTTCGGCCAGTGGGGCCACCCAGCGCAGCACCTCCATCCCTCCTTCCCATGGCCCCTCGGGCCTCTTCCCCCGGGTCCTGGTGCACAACACCCCCATACTCCTCCCCCCCAGCTCGGGAGGGGTGTTTCGAGCCCCCCGGCTCCCTGCAGAGCTGCTGGATGCGGAGCCCATCCATGCTCCGGAGCAGAAAGAGCCCGGGGCGGACGCGGAAACGGGCGGACGCGTCAAACCAGGCGGTTTTCCCAGACGCTGGAGCGATCGGGAACAGCTCCCCCTGTTTGTGAGCCATTTGTGGTGCTAGGAGAGAGTGTGAAGGCGACCTGGCTCCTTCCAGCCCCGCCTTTATCCCCAGGGCAGCAGCAAATGAGCATTAGATCTCAATTACAGCTCCCCAGGAGCAGGGACCGAGGACATGCCGCGATGGAGGGTGTCCAGCCAGCGGGGGGGGGAGGAAACATGACCCTAATGCAAACCCACTGGCCATGGGCAGTCTGGTCTCTGTCCGCAGCACAGGGGGATCGTGTGGTAGCATCCCTGTGCCCCTTGGTGTGCTGAGAACAGGCAAACTCATAGCATAGATGAGAGCTTCTGCAGGTTTGGGAGCCCTTTGTGCCTGTAAGGAGGTGCCAGCCAAACCTTAGATCCCACCACAGGATGTTCCCTGTGCTCCAGCATTACAATCCCCCCATTTTCCCTCCAATTTTATTATTCTAGGGATGTGGTGGTTTACAGTGTGAAGAGCGAGCAATGATGGAGACTGAGGGACCTCCCCTTCCTGCTCAGGCTTAGGCCTTGGGCGATGCCACAGACTGTAGCTGCTGCAGCTCCAGGGCACGGATGAGGAGGAGGAAGGCGATGCTCAGGAGAAGCAGCCAGAAGAAAACCCAGTAGTGCTGTGGGAGGAAGAGCCACGGCCGCCACAGCACCTCTGGGGACCCCTTGGACCTGGAGAGAAGGTGACCAGGGACACTCATCAGCCAGGAGAGAAGAGTGAATCCCTCCTCTGCCCCAGCCGGGGACGAGGAGGGAGTTCAGCTCAACCCCAGACCTCCCTGGCCCTTTTGCAAACCCAAATACAACAAGCCTGGGAGAGCACAGGCAACCCACAATACACAGGGGAAACTGAGGCAGAGGAGGGTCAAACTGGGGCAGACAAGCAACATCCCAGCTTTACATCACCAGATTCCCCAGCTCGTTTCCCATGTGCAGTCCTAGGACCACAAAGAGCCCAGCAGCCACAGGCAGATACTGGGCACACATAGGGTGCTGGGCACACGTAGGGGTCTGCTCACATCAGCCCAAGCTGCTCCGGCTCCTTGTTCCCTGCGCTTGAGCCTTTGTCTTGTGCCTCAGCCTCTGGGTCCCCGGTCACGGCACTGCCCTGGCCCTGCGGCTCCAGCTCACTCCTGGGGAGAGAGAGGACCCGGTGCTGTGCCGTGCCCGGTGGGGCAGTGGCAGCCGGTGCCGTGCCACCCGCTGCAGTTACCTCTGCGTGCTGCGGCAGCGCTGGGCCCCGTCCCTCTCCAGCTCACCGGCCAGCGCCACGCGGCTCTCAGGGCTGGCACCTGGCTGGGCACCAAAGGTGGGAACATCAGTGGGGAGCCAGCGCCCCGGTAGCGCCGGGCCTGGGGACACGTCTGACAGCGGGACACAGAGCTCTTGTCCGTCCCCGCTGGCGTGTCCTTACCAAGAGCTGCTTGGGGATGACGGCGATGCTGACTCTGCGGCGGGCAGACCCCTGCAATGGAGGGGCTGGGGGTGAGCGCTGCCCGTGCTCCCCATCCCCTCCTTCCCCATTGCCTCCCTAGCACAGGGACACCAAGGAGAAGGGACACCGTGCCAGCCTCCCACTGGCCCTGAAGCTAAGGGGGGAAGCCTGAGAGCTGGTGGGATGAGGGAAGGTCAAAGCCAAGAGGTTTGTGCCTGTCCTTACTGCTTCAAGCCGTGCCAGCGGGGCTGCCTAACCCCCTCCCCGAGCGCTCCCCTACCTCTTGAGCTGTAGGGGAATCAGTGCCGAATTCGAGCTGGTGCTAGAGAACAGCCAAGCCTGCGCCTCTCACGCTATGACCCTGCAACGCAGAGGGACCTGCCTGAGATCTCTGGGACAAGCAGCACCCAAACTCGGGCACCCAGTCTCCCTGCAGCCCCCCGAGGCCACCCCTACATTTTGCTTCATCCCCAGCACTTCTAGCAGACCTTGCCCGCAGCAAGCAGCTGGCAGGGATGGCATCGCCTGGGGACAGTGGGTGCATGGGGACCGCAGGCGAGGGAGAGCAGCAGGGTGCAGGGAGGTGGTGGCTCTGGGGCTGCTGAACTGGGACCAGTTACCTGCTGGAAAGTTCGCATCAGGGGATGAGGCCTCAGCCGTGGCTCCGCGTCATCTGGGATCAAAGAGAATCAGCCTTACATCACCCCCCAAAATGAAGACAGGGCTGATGGCTGCAAACCTCCCTCACATTGAAATCTGTCCTGGCAACATGCTCAGTGCTTGGTACAAGTCATAGAATCCCAGACTGGTTTGTGTTGGAAGGGACCTTAAAGCTCCTCCAGCTCCAACCCCTGCCACAGACAGGGACCCTTCCACTAGAGCAGCTTGCTCCAAGCCCCTGTGTCCAACCTGGCCTTGAACACTGCCAGGGATGGGGCAGCCACAGCTTCTCTGGGCACCCTGTGCCAGCGCCTCAGCACCCTCACAGCAGGCAACTTCTTGCTTTAGATCCAACCTGAACTTGCCCTGTTTCAGTCTGAACCCATCACCCCTTGTCCTATCACTGCAGTCCCTGATGAAGAGTCCTTCTTCAGCATCCCAGTCACTCATGTGCCCCATTCGAAGGGACCTTGCTTTCACACATGGCAATGGCGTGCATGAGGCATGGAATCCAGGGACAGAGCGTCCTTTGTGTGCCCTGTGCCCCCCTGCCCTGCATTCCCTGCAGTGTGATGGCATTCCAGCCACCTGCTCCCACACCGCGTCTGCTGTTACACCAGCATTGGAACCCACATTTGTCATCAGGTCCCAGCTGTCACCCCTCCCCTGTCCCAGCCTGCTCAACCCGCTGCCTCTCGGTGCAGGGTCACACTGACCCCCTGGAGGGGTTTGGGACCAAATCCCATGGGATCGCTCCACGCACAGCCCGCAGAGCCCACCTCACCCTGGCTCTCTGCCAGCTGCCGGTTGCGGGAGTTCTGCTGGATCAGGCGCTTCATCTCCTCCAGCTCCGTGTGCTCCCGCAGGTGGTGCCGCTTCAGGTTCTCCACGTGCTGGACCATCACCTCCGCTGCTCGGCTCATCCGGGCCTCCTGCGGCCAGGCAGCATGGGAGATCAGGCTCCTCATTCCCTGGCCCCTAAAGACCCAGGTCCCTGCCTGTCCTGCATTGTGCATCCACCCGGGGGGTGCAAACACTCCCAATGGCAGGCAGATCCCTTGCACCCGGTACATGCAAACATAGAATGGTTTGGGTTGGAAAGGACCTTAAGATCATTCAGTTCCAACCCCCTCCCATGAGCAGGGACACCTTCCACTAGAGCAGGCTTCCCAAGGCTCTAACCTGGCCTTGAACGCCGCCAGGGATGGAGCATTTACCACTTCTTTGGGCAACCCATGCCAGTGCCTCACCACCCTCACAGGGAAGAACTTCTTCATGTCATGCCATGTTCATGAAGTCAACATCAGCACCACGAGGAGGGACAAACCCCAGCAAGCCCAGGGATGGGTCCCCAAGTCCATCCACAGCACCCCTCATAGCTCCCAGCCTTGCAGGGTGCAGACATCACAGACCTGATGTACAGCCCCCAGCTTCTCTGCGGCACTGGTTGCCCGCTCCACAGCAGCCGCCAGCACGGCCAGGCTGTGCTGAAGCTGCTCCAGTGTCTCCCTGCAGCCGCTGTCAGTGCAGAATGGACCCAGCCTCTGCGGAGGGAAAGGACGAAGCTGCTGGAGCCAGGACTTTGGGTTGTCCAAACCCCTCTGGGGCTGGATGCTGGATGTCCCCAGCAGATGCCAGCCCCCTGCCCTGATGCCCACCTACCTCCAGAGCAGCCCGGCACTGCCCCAGCTCCTCCTGGATGTTTTCCTCTGCCGCATCCCGTGCCCGTTTCTCCACCTGCACCCGCTGCCGCAGGGTGAACACGTCACAGCGAAAAGCCAGGGCGAGGTGGGCAAAGGCTGCCTGAGGGCAGGAGGGAGAGAGGTGGGACACAGGGTGACGGGGATGACGCCTTGCCATGCGCTGCTGTCCCCAAGGCAGACAGACTCCCTCAGCAAGGCACCAAGCAGGGCAGTGTGAAGGATAGCTAGCATTTACCCCAGAAGCCATTAGGCTGCTGTGTGATGGGGATGGTCCCCATGAGATGCCATCCTGCCCAAGAGACGTGCCCCACGGGTAATGCATGTCAATCCCAAGCCCTCCTGGCAGTAGCACACGCCAGGCAGATGCCAGCCCTCACTGCAGGTCCCAGCTGACAGCGGAGCCTGACTCAGCCCTGGCACTCACAGCAAACCGGTTTTTATTAGCACAGCTTCCACCACCTCCCCGGCTTAGGGGCGCTTTTGGCAAGCTGCAGAGCACCCGGTGGGAATGCCGAGGATGGGCTCATCTTGCTGTGGAAATGCAGCTGCCTCCGAACGCCAGCAGCATCGCCAGGAAAGGGATTTGTGGCTGCCAGGGGACTGCGGTGCCTGGAGGGTGGCCAGGAGCAGGGCACAGCCCTGGGACCATGAGCCAGCAAAGTCCTTGTGTCCCCCTTCCCCAGCCCTCACCTCCACATCCTGCTCTGTCAAAGCCACCCTGTGGAAAGAGAAGTGCTGTCAGGGATGGACTGCGTGATGAAAATGCCCTTGGTCTGCTCGCAGGGCTGCCAGCCACCTCCAGAAGCCCAAGTGCCCCTTGTTTGGAGGATGGCTCTTGTACAGTGGAAAAGGAGGTGAGTCCAATCCCTGGAGCACACAGTGCCCTGCTATGGGACCCCCCTGCCCCATAGTCCCCGGAGGTGCTCTCTGCTCTTACCCATGCAAGCCGAGTCTCTCCAGCACTGCGAGCTCACTGGGGAAACTCAGCAGTGGCTCCTCTAGGGTTTCTGCATCTGCAGGAAGGCAGCAATGCCATGGGAGAGACCACATGTGAAGGCTTTTCCTTGGCCTTTCCTCCTCCCTCTGCCCTCCTGTCCCAGCAGATAGCAAGTGCCCATGGTGTGGGACCATCCCAGTCCTTCCCCCAGCATCAGGGGGGCTTCAGGCCCCTCCAGACCAGTCTCCCTTCCCCATGTCCCCATCAAAGGGATGACTCTCATCAGGCCACGCTGTTCCCACACTCATCCCCAGCTTCTCCGAGCCTTCCCCTAAGGCAGGGATGTGGGAAGGGGACTCACCCACCTTCCTTGGCCCCAGCACTGTCTCTGGTGTGCACAGCCACCTCCTGCCTGTCCATACCTGGCACCTGGGGGACACAAGGGCACTGTTGGAGCAAACCCCTCCCTGGTGCTGGACAGCATCCCAACAAGAGCAGTACCGAGAAGCTGGGGGCCCACATGAGCCTGAGATGGTTTGAGGGGAGAGCCCCCCCAACCTGCTGCCCTCCTCTCCCCTCTCACCTCACCAACGTGCTCCACACTCTGCTCACTCCCAGCCAAAACCCCGTCTGGGTGTCCCTGGGGACTGCTCATCCTCCCTGGGGACAAAACAGGGTGTTTGGAGCTGGGCAGCAGTGTCCCCTCCCCAGCCTGACACCACTTGAAGGGAGATCCCAAAATCCCCGCTGGCATTTCTGCAGGCTCTCGGGACAGGTACCCCCCAGAATACCGCTGCGGGGTGAAGGGAGCTGGGCCAAGGCAGTGGGAGGACGGTGAGGTCACCGCTGTTGAGGCAGATGCAGGTAATGGGGTTGGGGTCCCAGGGCTGGATGGGTGTGGGGTTGCATACAGCTGCTGCCAGGCCAGGGGACACCCTCCTGCTGGACCCATATGATGCTGCTCCAGGAGGGAGAGTGCAAAACCCACCCCATTCCCCCCATCCCCATGCTGGGATGTCCTTACCTTCATCTGGAGACACAGGGAGCCTGGCCAGCTCTGCCTGCTGCTCCCTATGGAGAGAAACCCGGGTAATCCCCAAAGAAACTCTGGCAGCAGAGGCAGTATCCCACCCACTCTGCCCTCCTCCAGCACCACAGCACCCCGCGATGAGTTGTTACTCCATGGGCTGCTGCTCCAGACCTGGGTCCTCTCTGAGCATCCCCTGCAGCCCGCTCTGCCTCTGTCCCCGCTGTCCCTGGCACGGACGCAGCAGCCGCAGCAGAGCCGGCACGGAGGAGCCGGCCGGAGCCGTTTCCAGCCAGCAGTGAGTCACCAGCCCACGGCCCTGCTGCTCCTCAGCACATTAGTGCTTTATTTCCCTTTGCCCTGGCTGCTGAGCACCCCTCGCTGTGCACCGGCCTCTGCCCAGGCACAGCAGACCCGGGTGCTGGCAGAGCCCAGGCACCATCTCACATGACCATCACAGGGACTGCACATGATTTTGCCCCCCAAAAGTGCACCAGGATGGTCTCGCCACCCCAAAACTCTGTTCTGGGTGCAAGGAAGTCTGGCAGCTCTGCAGCATCCCTGCTCATTGGGATGATGGAGCACAATGGGGATGGCAGATCACCAATGCATGGAGATACAGGGGCTGCAGCCTCATGTTGGAGCCCAGCAGCTAACTGGGAAGGGGTTTGAACCCCAAAACTTTGCTTCTGGCTCCAGAAGGGGACAGAGTTGGGCTTTTCCCCCTTCTCCTTGCAAACCTGGGGGTCATTCTCCAGGAACGGTGGCTGCCACTGTGCCAAAATGGTGCTCGGTGCCTTGTGTTGGAGCCCAGCACCCAAATGGGAAAGGATTTGAACCCCAAAACTTTGCTACTAGCTCCACAAAGAGCTACAGTCGGGCTCCTGCAAGCCTGGGGGTCATTCCCTAGGAGTGGTGGCTGCAGAAGGGGCCCTTGTGCTGAAATGACGCTCCAGCCGGAATGCCCCCTTGCCTGGCACTGCCGTCCCCATCCCATCCTTGCCAGCACCCCAAGAATCCATGGGATGAGCTTGTCATGCACATACCTCTGAGGTGAGGGGCTGGGCCCCTTTATCCTCTGCCTCTGCCGCCGTCGGCGCCCCTGGGCGAGCCCCTGTGCCTCCTCTTCCTCCTCTCCCAGCGAGGTCCCTGCGAGCGGCTTCATCTGCGAAGCGCGGAGGCTCCGGGACCAGCACACCTATCACGAGAGACACATATTAACTGCGCGCAGATGGGAGAACGCCTCTTAAATGGTATATTTTTAAAGCATTTTCTCACCCAGCAGGAGCTCCAGGCTCCTCTGCTTTAGTGTGGAGGCATCTGTGGGAAAAGAGGTGGGGAGACCCGCTGCAATTTGGGAGGATGCTGCTGGGATTCGGGCGGGCACAGAGCGATGGAGTGAGGAATGAATGCAAGCCCCATTCCAGGGCAGTGTTGAAGCTGGATTACCCCCGTTCCCTTCCCATGGGACAACTGGGGCTCCTGATGTGGCTCATCTCCATGGCGGGGAGATAAGTTTGCACCTACCTACATGGTGGAGAATGGGAGAAACCTGCTGTACCCCAAGCATCCCCCTGCCAGGCTGGCTCCCAGACAGACAAATAGAAGAATTCCCGAGACCAAGGGAGCTTAGACATCTCGTTTAGGCTGTTTTGCAATGTTTAAAAATCAGAGAAAGACAGGAGAAAGTGCACAGAGTGCTGTTCCCAGCGCAGGGTGAAGGGATTCTCCTGCAGGATGTGTCTCCTCAGGAGCTGTGCCCACGGACACGCAGGTATGTGGTAGAAAGAGGGGGTTTTAGGGCTAGGACAGGAAACTCAGCAGAGATTGAAGGGGACAGAGAGCAGGGACTGCTTGAAGTCCCACCCGCCTGCACAGAGCCTTGGCCAAGCTCAGTATAGGTCACTCCATCACCAAGCAGGGCCATCACCCATCTTGCCCCCATCCTGAATGGGGCCATCACCGATCTCCCAGACCTCAGCCCTGATGAAGATGTAAAGCAAGCAGCACTTGGTATGTGACAAAACAAGCCCGTTTCATGCCTATACACTGGAAATTGTCCCTGGTACATCTACCCAGGGGCTCAGGAGCCCCCGGGCCATCAGGGATCAGCCAAACCCATCACAATGGAGTTTTCCTCAGGGCTGGTCCCTGATGCAAAGCCCTTGCTCTGTAATTGCCACAGGAGACCCTGCTGCGGACTACAGCTCAGACAGGCTCCCAGCCACTCACTCTTTATGATGGAAACAGAGCGGCATGCAGCACGGCACGAATAACCCCCCGGGAAGCGCTTCTCCTCGGCTCAGCCGCTTCACCCAGCTCTCCCCGGGCCGTTACCTGCCTGAACGTGTCTCATGCAGCTGCAGGCAGGGGCTGGGACCCCCAGCTCGGAGCCAGCACTCAGTCCCCGGCAGACGGGGGTTGGGGGTGCCGGGGCCCCGCGCGGTGCGAGCTCCCCGGCGGCGAGAGCGACCGCATCTGCGGCAGAAGGAGCTGCCAGGGAAGAGCTGGATGTGAGAAGGCCTTTAAAGGACATGCATGAGAGCGCCTGGGAGCTCCCGCACGGGGCTGGGGCGGGCTGAGTGCTTTGCAGGTGGCCACAGAACCTCTGCTTCTGGTGCGGGGCCGGGTCCTGCACCCCCTCTTTGGAGGTGGCAGAGCTGGGAGAAACCATGGCTGCTCCCTCCGCGCCTGCAGAGCAGAGTGGACCTGAGTCTCAGCACCTCCCTGGCAGGAGGCTCAGGGCTCTGGACCTCCGAAGAGTTGGGAACCCCCTCATGGCTTCATGGGGGACACAGCACGAGGTTAAACCAGGATAACAGACGAGGAGCCCCTGTAGCATCATACGTGCTGATGCAGGGAAGCCACTCTCCCAGGACCCCAATCCCTCTTGTCCCTCTCAGCAGCCCTACTTCCCCCCCAGCCATCATCCCCACTGCCCCTTCTGCCCAATCCTTTGTACAAATCCTCTAAAGCTGCTTCCTTCCCCTAATGAGCTTATATGGAGTCAGACTCGATGCTCAGCACTACAGGGGACCAGGCTGCAGGCAGGCAGCTGCTGTTAGCCTATGGGACCCTAACGCATCAAGAGGAACAAGGCAGGTCCTTGGGGTCTGCAAATCTCTTAAGCCCTGAGAGGTCAGCCAGCAAACGGCATCTCCCAGTCCAGGGGCAGGGCCAGCCCAGCATCATATCCATCAGCAAGAGCCGGAGCACAGGATGCGGCCCCAGGGCATGGGAGAGCTCAGAGAACCCATTTGCAGCTCCGAAGCAGGATCTGTGCCACAGTGGGATAAGGCTTTAGAAATGGCCATCAACTGTGGTCCCCAGCAGGTCAGGGCTTCCAACGTCCTTGTAGCTCCCAGGGATGGGTTTTCCCCTCTTGGGGCAAACACCTCCTGCTTTGACCTGACCCAAAAGCAGAGCTGCTGAGAAATCACGAGTCATCTTAGGGGAAGGATAGCCCCACATTCCCGTGCTGTCTTCCCTGTAACACACATACCCAGCAACACAAGCTGTGGCATGCAAGATTAGCACAATTAATGACAACACACCGTAAGTTCACACTGCCAGGACACAGGACATGCTGAAAGGCAAACTTCAACTGTCACTCTCTGCTTTCAGTCTTACGCATCCCCTGCCTTTCCCTAAAATTACTTCCCCTGGGATTTCCTCTCTTCTCCACCCCGTTCAGTTTTCTGTGCATCTCCTTTTCTGTCCATCTCCACCAGTTTCAGGTGCAAGGGCTGACCACTTAAACTTCTTTTTAGAGAAGGATTTGCAGAGACACATTCCCTGAAGTGAGCAGGGTGCCTGGCCCAAGCTGCAAGAGAATGCTCAGGGCTTGGGATGACAGAGCTGGATCTGTTCTGCAGGAGAGTACATCCATGCATGGCCATCCAGAGGCAGCTGAGTGCTCCCCAGTTTCCCAGTGAGTTTCCCAGCTGGCTGCTATCTCAAAACACTGCTGAAGTCTCCAGGCATAAAGTCAGGTTTGCATCAGCACTGCCAGTCCTGGGCTGCCTCACCTCCAGGCACTGTTTCATTTCAGAAAGGGGAGACCCAAGCAGATGAGAAGACCCTTGCTTTGGGCTGAGACTCGGCAGATGGAGCCCCATCGCCCTGATGCCATTCCCCTCCTCCAGGATCTGCTTTGGCACATGGATCTAAACTATTCATTTTAATGCTGAGTGCTTTTTCTAGCCAAGCATGTGCTTCCTCCTCAAGAGAGACTGCAGCCAAGGCTCCCATAACAGGGCATGGAAGTAAAAGCACCTTCAAAGCATGATGCTGAGCAGAGTGTACAAAACCAGGGGGACAGTGGACAGACACCTTTGCACACCAGTGCCTTGCCACCAGCGCAGCCTCGTGTAGGAATGAGGCCCTGAGATACGTGGTGAAGGGATTAACACGCTGTGGTAGCTGACCAAAACTCAACTTCCCCCTCACTTACGTATAATAAATACACCAAAGGGAGAGAGTGGCAGCTCCCCCCATCTATGACAGCAGCAACAGGTAATTTGACTACAGCCTCACTTCCACTTCTCCCAGAAGTATAAATGTGGCATTTGAATAGGACCCCACCTTGCAGACAAGTTGATGGGCTTGCTCCTCTCTCCTCCCCTTAGTAAGATTTGCAGCTCCATCAGGTGATAGCCAGGTGGAACTAAGCTTAATGAATCACCAGGTGGTTTTTTCCACATGAGCTCAATCAGTCACTGGCTAGCTGTGGATCTGAGAGCTACCGCAGTAACAGAATTTATCAACAGCAGTTCCAAATCTGTATTTCTGTTGCTTCAATAATCTTCACTATCCACGAATCCATAATCGTGAAAGTTCTGATTTAGCACAACTGGATGCATAGTGTTAAATAGGTGATAATCAGAAATGAAGCTGCACTCGGCCCCTCTGATCTCTGAGGGCTGACTGGAACACAAAGGAGTTTATTGGTTTATTTTCTGACAACCTTCTATATTCTTAATACAACAGCAGTTCCTGCTGGCCCTGTACCCCCAGAGACCCTGCTTCCGCCCTGAGAGCAGCAGCCTGGCACCAAGCAGGCAGCGAGTCAGGCTCTGCAGCCTCTGCTCTGCGTCCTGGCATGTCCATGGCTGCACCCAGTTGCTCTGTGGGGGACACAGACCTTTAGACACCATCACGTTGGCTCCCCACAACAGAAAAGAGTGTTTCTGCTCAAAAACTTCTCTATTCCCTCCCCACACACATGTGCTTCAGTAAGAGGCAACGCTCCTCTTTGCGAACAACCCCATTCAAGAAGCTTCTAAAAGCATTTAATAAAGCACCTGGGGATTTCTATGCCCTTATTTTTAACGTATGAGCATCTAAATCATGACTGCAATCCAGGTGTTGTAGAGCAATAAGCAGAAGCAGCCCAGCTCCCCGTGCACAGACCTGTTCTGCAGCGATGAGCAAGACCCTGCTGGGCGATCTCCAGCCCCAGGAGACGAGCAGCAGTGAGGGGCTGTGGGCTCTGGCGTTGCCCCTCGTGTCTCCTTCCAGCGAGCTCCCAGCAGCAATGCAGCAACCTATTGCATCGGCATCCTCCCAGGGCTCCTCCTGAGGCTGGGCTGAACTTGCAGCTCAGATCCCAGAGCCCATGGGCATCTGGATTATTCACTTCTCAGAGCAAAGCTGCTCAGACTGACACTGGCTGCTACTGCTGATGCGGCAAACGTGATTTATTAGGTCTGTGCAGGAGGCCCGAGCATAAGCAACACCCCAACCCTCCAGCTAATTCATCTTTGTGTGACCCTGTCTCCCCAGCTGACAGAGACCTGGCAGCCACCAGACTACACAAGGGAGAACACGATTCTCTTATCATGATTAAAAGGTTGTTGGCAAAAGACAGACAAGAAAGAGAGGGTTTGCTTCTTCTGATTCAGTTTTAAATTTCAGGTTGAATTAAAAGCCTGCTAAGCCTTCCCCCGAGTGGCTCAGCCTCACATCTGGGTGTCACAGCCACCAGACCTCAGTCCAAAACTGCAGCAGCATATTAGAGATTACATGCATGTGACTCACAGGCTGTCATTGAAGCTCCTCCAGGGAGAAGCAGGGGGACTAAGGAGGTGATCCTGCCCCTTTGCTCTTGTGAGACCTCACCTGGAGCACTGTGTGCAGTTCTGGTGTCCTCAACATAAAAAGGACATGGAACTGTTGGAACAAGTCCAGAGGAGGCCACGAGGATGATCAGGGGCTGAAGCACCTCCTGTATGAAGACAGGCTGAGAACATTGGGGCTGTTCAGCCTGGAGAAGAGAAGCTGCATGGAGACCTCAGAGCAGCTTCCAGTGTCTGAAGGGGGTCTATAGGGATGCTGGAGAGGGACTCTTCATCAGGGACTGCAGTGATAGGACAAGGGGTGATGGGTTCAAACTGAAACAGGGGAAGTTTAGATTGGATCTAAGGAGGAAATTCTTTCCTGTTAGGGTGGTGAGGCACTGGAATAGGTTGCCCAGGGAGGTTGTGAATGCTCCATCCCTGGCAGTGTTCAAGACCAGGTTGGATGAGGCCTTGGGTGAGATGGTTTAGTGTGAGGTGTCCCTGCCCATGGCAGGGGGGTTGGAACTGGATGATCTTAAGGTCCTTTCCAACCCTAACTATTCTATGATTCTATGATTCTATGACTATCAGCTCCCCGGCAAGAGGGGACATAGCAACTCCCTGGACGTGCCTGTAGGGGAAAGAGGCAGCCCCTCAGGGGATGGATATGGACCATTTTGAGGAAAAGGAATGGAAATGGAAAATGAAAATTAGTTTCAGCACTTCCCACCAAGGTGTTGCATGGACTAAGGTGGTCTGGCTCCTATGTGGCTCTGAATAACATTTGTGAGTGCAGCATTCACACGCCCCTGCCCACCCAAAGAAGGTACTCCACTGTCCCACCATGACACCAAGATGCCACTTAGGGAGTGGAGACATCATCTTATCATGAAACTGGTTCAAAACTCACCATGGGAGAATGGGAAAGCAGCAGAGTAGAGAGAAAACCCATGCAATTGCATAATGTTAATATCCTTTAAAACAAACCAACACTGTTAGGCCAAAAGGGGAATTCCCCTCCATACCACGAAGGAGGTAAATCTTTATAAATGGAGAAGGAAGCTGATAAGGAACCACTGTCAAATACCCCGAGTAAACAGGCTGAAAATCATACACTGCCTTCTACATACACTCGTAAATGTGGAAGACAAAGCTTCAGATCTTTCCCTTCACCAACGCTGCTAATAAATCAGGACAAGGACAAACCCAGCCCTGGCTCTCCCTCCGCTCTTGGATAAGGTTCTGCTGAGCTATAAAACCTGACCGATGTCTTATGCCACATCCACCTCTTTGAACTGTTCAGGCTGGATTTCAAAGTTCCTAAGAGGGTCAAGAGGAGTCAAAAAGTGAAGTTTTCCATGCGGGTATTACCAACCACCAGCTAAACAAGGAGTCTTCCACCAGCATTTCTAGCATCTCCAGGGTTTGCTTCCAGTTCTCCTGCCATGGTTGTTATCTTGCACAGCCCAGAGATATCCACAGTACATGATAAACTGCAGCCAGGAGCAAAAACAGGGCTAAGGCGGCTCTTTCTACAAGACAATGTTATGCTTCCCAGAACAGGACTCCCCTTGCAGTTTGCAAAGCTGATCCCTCACTACCACTCCATGCAAAAACCACATAGGCTGGCCCAAAAGGCAGCTCCCAGCACATCCAGATGAGTTTAGGAGTGCAAAGATGCATACTGCACATAGCAGCCAAGAACAGCCTGTGAGAGTGAGCCTGCTGCCTAGAGAAACCAGTAAGCAGCTATGAAATCAAGGAGAGATGCACACTGCAGCCAGGAGACTTCAAAGCCTTCACTGCTGCCCAGTCCATAGAGGCATCGGTGCTTCCCCCGTGCTCTAGGTATACCCGGCCCGTCCTTCCAGGTCTGCGGCAAGGGCACCAGGAAGCTGATGACCAGGTGAGTTTTGGAGATGAGTTTGTCCTCAGTCATCTTCATGTGACCGACAGCCACAGCCCTGGGGGCAATGACACCGAGGTCACTGGGAGAAGCTTTGCAGGGAATCTATAAAGACCGCAGGCTGCTACCTAATAAAGCCAGAAGAGCAGGCTTAGACCTTGGTGATCAGGGCACAACTTCTATTTATGTCATAGTTTGGGCAGCCCTACAATAGCTTCAATATGCTCAGCTATTAACTCACTGGTATGCAAACACATCAACAATTTGGCTCCCTGGAAGGTTTCTTCCCTCCAGCTAATGTAGACTTTGAAGCCTCATCAGTCCAGTGTCACCTAAAATAGCTTAAGAGATTCTTACTATAGTCAGAAATCTGTGCTCTCAGCATTAAGAGCATCACTTAATGCTGCAGAGTTTCGTTCCTCTGGCTGGATCAAAACGTTAATGAGCAAACTTGAAGCAGTAACGTGTCTCACCTACATGTTTTAATCCCTCTTCTCCCTTTGTAGATGAATTTTTAAACAGTTCCTTCCTGAAGTATGCAATGCTTCAAAACCTCCATTAAAACTCCAGCACTACCTCCCTCGGAGTCCATCCACTCCTTCCTATCGTTATCTTTCCAGTCCTCCAACCAAAACGTGCCCAGATGAGGTTTCCAGTGGGTGCTTTCAAGGACACAGGATAAAAATCTGGAAACAGTCACACTATAAAGCGCTTTTTATTAGCACATCACCGAGCACCTTGGAATGGGCAGTGTCATCACTGCCGCATTGAAAACCAGGAAGGTGACATAGAGAGGTCCCTGTAAAGCAGAAAAAAGGCAGATTTAAAGCAGAAAATTCAAGTTTACCAGGTCTTCATCTTAATCCCACTCTCCTGCATCCTGAGATTTGTAAATCCCATCAGACCTCGCAGATCACTGCTGCACCACCCAGAGATGAGCTTAGCCAACGTGCACAAAACATACCCCTTGTGCCTTGGCGCCTTCAAGCCATGACAAAAATCACAATGGTAAATTAAACCTGGTCCAGAATGACAATATTCAAACAGTCTCAGATCAGTTTCTGTCTTAATTCAGCCGTGTGTTAAGGGCATTAAGAACTAAGGACCTGCAAACTCCACCATGCTATGTCGCTTGCTAGGTGTTCTGAGCCACCACAGCGTTGGAAAAACACTTCCAATAGAAAGTGTTTGGGCAAGATGACTTCACTTTGGCTACCGGGATGCCACTGTGGGCAAGGAGAGGGGGAGCTTTGCCAGCTTTATAGACTCGTAGAGTCATTTAGGTTGGAACAAGACCTTTAAGATCATCAAGCCCAACCATCGTGCAGACCTGGTGCCAGGAAGGAGCAGCCCCATGCTTTGAGCACTGACGCTGAGGAGAAACGAAACAAGGCTGCAGGCACACACAGGAAGCCCTGCGGCTGCCTTGCTCCGTTTTGAACCAAGAAGCAGATCCGAGTTGATTAAAACAAGAAGTGGCACCTGCAAACTGGACCGATGACACACTGGGATGCTCAGCTCAGCCCAGCCCATCCCAGCCCTGCAGGGCTGCAGGCACCGGTCAGCAAAGGGGCCGCAAGCAGAGGAGGGCTCCTGCTGGCTCTGCACTGCCGCGCTCCCAGCTCAGGCAATGGGGGACCTGCTCCCCGGAAAACCTGTCTGTCTGAGAGCACGCAGGGAAAACGGGCAACGCTTCCAACGCGGGCAGCGGCCTCAGGGGCGGCATCGCTGCAGGCACCTTCACTGGGGGTGCTCCTCCAGCACGCACGGGACAGCACTAGTTCAGCCATAATGCAGAAGTAATGGGGGTCTGCCCCCCGGTTAAAAAAGCCACTTTTCTGGTGATAGGCGGATTGACTCCACAACTCGTTACAGTTGTAAAGTAGATATGCTTTATTCAGCGCTGAGGCGCATGGGGGATCGCTCCTCCAAAAGCATGCACACCTTTCCTTTGCCACTCAGTTCATTTATATTACCTATAATGATTACCTAAACATGAGATTGCTTCACGCCTAATACATATGCAAATTCCCTATTCCCATCTAGTATTATAATTAGTTTTCTGGCATTCGTCCCATTGGTGCGCCTGCGCAGTGCCTCATAGTGGTCCTTAGGGGGTCCTGAGGATGAAGGCCTGTAGCTCCTCTTCATCACCGTGAGTAACCCCTTGCTTTCAGGCAGACTCAATGGGGTTTCGGCTCCTGTCCAAACCTCAGGTTTGGTACAAGCTGGTTTTATGTATCTTAAAGCAGAAACTTGTCAAGTTTGCAGATGTTACTCTGGCTGTCTTTTGTTCCTTTGCTTTCTATGGATACTGTTTGAACAAGAATGTCTTCAATGTTAAGTTTTATGAATCTTATCTACTACAATTCTCCCTAGCAGCTGCAACTCCTACAATTCTGCTTCACCGTTCTAGCAACTTTGACTCCTACGGTTCTGCTTCACCAAGCACAGCAACTGCTTAAACAAGCAGGCACAATGGTAACCCTTTATTTCCCGGCATCAGCGGCACAAGTCATCTGCAAGGGAGTCACCTGGACGCAGGTTCCCCCCCCGGCCACCCCTCACACCCGTGGGCTCTCCGCCGACGTGGGGCAAACCAGGGATCCCAGCGGGCCCCGCAGCCGGGGCCCTGGGGCACCCAACAGGCCAGCCCCTCCACAGCTCCTCCTCTACCGCCATCTTGGGAGGGGCGTGGAGGGCGCCGCCATCTTGAGTGTGGCGGGGAGGGAAGGCGGGGGCCGCCATCTTGAGTGTGGTGGCCAAGAGCAAGGCACTACTGCAAAGCCCCAGGCAAAGGCAGGTCCCAGCCCACACCCAAGGGTCTCCATCCCGCTGCTGGTGCGCCCGAGGAGGCGCTGGGCTGCAGCCACCACCGCCTAACAGCAGGCTCTGCCCAAGGAAGCCATCGCTTTGTGGTTCTCTTTGGTGCTCACCTGGATGAAGGAGAAAGAACATCAAGGAAGGGAACCCCGCCGGCACCACGCTCGGCACGGCTGTAGCGGGTACCTGTCTGCTGCCCATCCCCCGGAGCACAGCATCCCCCTCACCTGGCCCCCTCCAGCACCGCCTGCAGTGAGCTCCTCAGAGCCGCATTGCTGTGGCCCAGCGCGGCGGCCAGGCTGCTCCGGTGGGACGGGCTGACCTGGGGGGAGAGGAGCCAGGAGCTGCCCCGCCAGAGACCCCCGCGGCCCGAGCCCGGCCCCGGCCCCACTCACCTGGCTCTGGTACGTGGTGAGCACAGCCATCACCAGCCCGGCGTAACCCAGCGACGTGCCGAGGGCTGGGGCCTGCCGGCACAGCGCCAGCACCAGGCCATCAAAGAGCTCCGGGGGCAGCACCTCCTGGAAGAGCCCCAAGCAGGGAGGTGAGCGGGGCCTTGCTCCGGGGCTGCTGGAGCCGGCAAGGAAACGTGTTGGGGTAAGGGGGTCCTCACCTGCCGCCCCAGCACGGCCTGAACTATGGGCAGGAGCTTCTCCGACAAAGGCACCTCCAAGACTTGGCTGCAAAGGACGGGGAAGAGCAGATGTGATGCTCCCGTGGAGCTGCCGGGTGGTTGGAGCCGCCGGACCCACGGCGTGGAGCCGCTGCTCCTGTCAGCTCCCACCTCAGCACCAGCCGCACAGAGTCTGGCTCCAGGCACTCCTCCACCAGCTCGCACACCAGCTTGGTCTGCTCAGCACCTGCAAGGGTAACACAACGGGCGGAGAGCCTGACGAGGCTGCCAAACCCATGGGGATGTGCCCAACCCTCCCTGGCACCCCTTCACACAGGGGTACGCCCAGAAAGCATGTACTGCTCCCTTCTGCTGCTCAGGATAAGCCTGTGCCCATCTGCAGCAAGGGTTTAATTCATACCAATCCCTAGGAGAAGGGGATGCTGCTGTGGCAGCGATTCCTGCAGCACCCTCTTCTCACACCAGCAGAGCCTGCCTGGGGCAGTTTTGGCCCCAGCATTAGGAGCTGGCAGGAACCCTCTAGTCCATGGAAAGGGATGGCAGCTTCGCTTTGGGAGAACTGATGCTGGGAGCCAGCCTGGCATCTGTAAACCCATCTCCCATTCTAACTCCCAAATGTTCACCTGCCCAGATAAACCCAGCACCATTCCTCCATGGTTTCTAATGTATTTTGCACAATAAATCGTCTCCTAGGAGAAGAGAATCTGGGGCTCCCCTTGCTGATGGATGCACCCCATGACCCCTCTCCATTTGCTACCAGACGAAGCCTCCTGCGAGCCCATCACACCTTCCCCAGGCTCCTGCAGGACCGCAGCCACCAGGACATGACAGAAGGGCTGGGAATACTTGGAGCAAAACGAAGTGAGGGCAGCCATAAGGTGTCGGGAGGGCGGCTGGGTGAGGGACAAGACCTAGGGACAAGGAAGGGCAGATGGGGATGGTGGTGAGGGAAGCGGGGACCAGGAAGTCTCTGCTGCTCTCGCACGTACTCGCCTGAGGAAGAGCTGCTGCGCCAGGGTGGCCGCGCTGGTGTAGCTGAGCTCAGGGCTGAGAACCAACAACCAGCTGCAGAAACGCACCAGGAGGTGCTCCGGGCACGTGGAGAGCTGCAGGAAGGAGCACAGCCCCTCGAGCTGGGATGGCAGAGGGGCAGGCACATTGGGGACACTAGAGACAGCAGCACCAGCAGTTGCAGTGGGGATGCTGAGACTTACCTGGGCAGGAGAGCAGCTGTTCAGGACGTGCAGCTTGGGCGGGATGCTGAGATCTGGGTGCTGGAGGGAAACCTTGAGTAACAATAAACCAACCACAGAACACAGCTCCAGGCCTTTTCTCCTCATTGCCACCCCCTGCACTGCGACAGCAAACCCCTCCGGCAGCAGCCTCCAGCCATCGCTGTAAACCCACCTCCTCTCCCATCCCTTCCAGAGCCCCTGTCTTGAGCCCCTTGAGACCACCAGCTCCAGGAGACAGACAGAAGCAACACTTACACTGGACTCCTTCTGCAGCAGCATCTTCAGCCTTGGTCCATGCAGCTGAAGAAAATGAGATGAAGGAATAGGAACCAGAGTGTAAAGGCTCAGTGGCTGGAAGGGGGAAGCCAACCCTGCCCGGTACCTGGAGAAAGGACTGGACCTCCACTGCCACCTCTGCCTGGGAGATCTTCCTTGGAGCTTCCTGCTGGGAGCCTTCCAGAGCAGCCCCACCTGGGCTCTGTGCAGATCCATCTCCCGAAGACTCCTCTGGCATCTCCTCTTCCATCCCTGCCACATCCGCAACCTCCTGCATTCCTGGGGGGTCAAACACCACCTCCTCCAGCAGCATCCTCTTCCCTTCTCTCTCCTCATCCAACTCCAGGCTCTCCTCTGACACTTCCTTGTGCTTCCCACCGTGAAGCACAGAGTCAGCCCCATCCCCAGTGCCGCTGGGCTGTTTGCTGAAGCACCACTTCAGTTTCCTTCGCCCCTCTGGATCGTTCTGGCCAATTCTCTGGCCCAGGCATCTAAGCTGCTGCTGGCACATGGAAGACAAGAGACCAGGAGATGGGCAGCATGCTGCTGCCCTTGCTTCCTGCCGGAGCAAATCCCCCAGTGCCCGCACCCAGGGATCCACATGGGAATCCCGCTCCAGTGCCTGGAGCAGCTGATCGAGGCAGCTCCCCGGCACCAGGGCTTGCACCACGAGCAGCAGGGAGAAGAGGTTTCTCTGGCACACAACAGGGAGCAGCAGCAGCCGGGGCTTCCTGGATAAGGGGAAAAAAGGGAAGGATGACGCATCCGAGCAAATCCCTAAATCCTTGTTTCCCACAGAGCAGGGTCTAATGGGCTCAGGAAGCAAGAGGAGGCAGAAAACACAGAACGCCTCAAGTTGGAAAGGACCCATAAGGATCATAGAGTCCAACTCCCTGCTCCTCACAGGACTACCTAAAGCTAAACCATACGGCTAAGAGCATCGTCCAAATGATCCTTGAACTCCGAACCCAGGTTGAATCATCTCTTATATATATAACTTCACCAGCTTTTGCAGGCAAAGAGCAGCAGGTCCCTGCCACAACCCTGACATCACTACAGGAAAGAGGATGTGCGGTGCTGAACCGGGCACCTGACACCCCAAACCTCCTGCAAAACACCCAGCTGTGGGAACATATTCAACTCACACAGCCAGGGCCCCCTCCGGCCCGTCCAGCGCAGGCTCCTCGGCACACAGGGCTGTAGTAAAGGTCTGCCAGGGAAACACGGGCCCTGGTTCCTCTCCGGGCTGGACCCGCTGCAGCATCCGGAGCGCAGCCAGTGTCCCACGGGAGCCGGAGGCCAGCGCATGGAGCAGGAGGCGGCTGTGCTTGTCCAAGCTCTGCAGCCAAGGCAGCCCGTGGGGCTCCATCGCCTGCAAGGGAATCGGGGAGAGGCCTCACATGGGGCGCACCGGGGAGGACGGGTCCATCCAGGACACGCTCTGCAGCAAACCTCCCTCCCCAGCTCCAGTCTGGGGGCTGCCCTTACCTGCACGGGGGGCCGTGGTTATCCTCAGCACCCGCGGGTGGAGGCGCATCACCGAGGAACCCCCGCCGAGCTCCCTAAACCCGCCCCCCTCGCAGCTCCCCACCACCCGCCCAACGGGACAAGAGGGGAACCGCTGGGCGCTGCTGGCGGTGCCCGCGCCCGGAGCAGCCCCACCGCCCCCGGGGACCCGCACACCGCGGCACTGGGGCCGGGTTATCCCGGTGCCCGCCCCCCGGCAACCCGCGCTGGGACACACACACACACACACACACACACACACACACACACACACACACACACAGACACACACACAGACACACACACACACACACAGACACACACACACAGACACACACACACAGACACACACACACAGACACACACACACACAGACACACACACACACACACACACACACACACACACACACACACACACACACACACACACACACACACACACACACCCCCCCACACACACACACACACACACACACACACACACACACACACACCCCACACACACACACACCCCCACACACCGCGGGGGGACACGGGAGCGCTCCCGCGCACTGCCCGGGGCCGGTGACCCGGAACCCGCGCCCGCTCCACTTCCGGGCCCGCCCCCCTAGAGAAGCGCGCCACATATGCAAATCAGTCGCCCATGCACGTTGGATTCATTATGCAAATGAACCCTAAAGGCAAACCCTGTCATCCCCGCCGAGCACAGCCGCGGCGGTGGTCGTTTAGAGCCCGCTTTATTTCATCACGTCCACGTTGGCTAAAAGCAGTTTAAAACAGCGCCCGCAGCTCCCCCCCGGCCCCTTGTGCACCAAACCCCCGCCAGCCTGAAACCCAGCCCCGGCCCCCCCCAGCCGGTCTCCACCACCAAGGTGAGGGCAGGAGAAGGGGGGGCCTGTGCCCCGCTGCACTGAGACCCCCCCAGCTCCATCACCCCCTGGCTTCCCGTGGGATGTGGGACCTGCTGGGGGTCCATCAACACATTTCCCCATCCCAACCCCATCCAGGGTGCAGCACCCCAAACCAGTGTTGGGAGCAGCCCAACACATCAAAAGCTGATGCTTCCCCCTCCCAGAGGACATTCCCTTGCCACCAACAGTGGGGCACCCCATGTGCGGCACCCCACGGCTTTAGTCAGAGTCGCTGAATTCCACAAGGAGCACCTCGTGGCCATATCTGGAGTATCGGAAGTCTGCTTCCACCACAGCCAGGCTGAGAGCCCACTCCAGCACACAGAGCTCCTCATCTTCCTCGTCAGAGCTCTCCAAAGGAGGGTCCTGCAGCACAGGAGACAGGATGAACCCCAGCCTGGAGCCATGCCCCCCCCCCCCCCCCCGGATGTGCCACCCCGCTTACAACGGGCACCCTTGGGTGCTGCTGCCTGCGCCGTGGTGGCTGGCGGGCGGGCAGCTCGTGCAGGTAGATGCAGTCTGACTTGAATGGGCAGCACCCGCGGTTCTGGGCAAAGAACTTGCACCTGATTTTCCTATGGGGTCAAAGCACAGCTGTGGGTACAGGTCCCGAAGCAGCGCAGAGCCCGCAGTGCCGCACACTCACCCTGTCCGTGCCTTGAAGGTCTTGATGAGCTTCTCCTTCTCAGCCCCCTCCGAGACCCAGTATTTGTGGGGGATGTAGTAACTGGAGGTGATGCGGCATTCTGGGCAGGCCCTGGCAAAGGAGATGGGTGCAGGGCCCAAAAAGGGAGCAGGGAGCATGGGCCTAGCACCCACACTGGCTGGTCCCACCACTACAGCCTCATCCAGCATCCCCAGCCCTATCGCAACACCCAACTGCCTGTTCCCAAAGGGAAGTTGTTCCTTCCCGAGGCCCAGGGGAGGATTTCAGGGTGCAGAAAGGGTGACGGTGACCACCCCACCACGTCCCCATCCCCGCTCACTTGATGACGGTGCTCTGGAAGTCACGGCTGCGGCGCCACTTGCGGATGCAGCCCAGGCAATACGCGTGGCTGCAGTTGGGGAGGATCCCGAAGAGCCGCTCCTCTGGAAGCGGCTTCTCGTACACCCGGTCCATGCAGATGCCGCACACCACGGCCTCACTGCGGGCCCTCAGTGCCTCGCTGGACACCGGTGCTGCCACAGCACCCGGCTCCTTGGGGACCTGCAAGAGGAGCCCCACGGCATTGCCCATTGGCACTGCCCCACAGGGACTGACAGGGCCTGCCCAGTGCAGGAGACCCCCAGCCCACCTCTGCGAGGTCAGTCCTTGTCACCATCTCCTTCCCAGGGTCAGAGGAGTTGGGATCCAGTCCCAGCACTCGCGCCTGGGAGCCTGCAGGCAGGAGAGCTCTCAGAGAGGAAAACCACATCCCACCCCACCATCCAAGAGGCAGGATGGCTGCTCCAGGGCACAGGCTCCACAGTTACGGTCCCAACCCCAGTTAAGAGATGCTGCCCCCATCTGGGCATTGCCCACAGATGGAGGGAGGTGGGGAACAAACATGCATCGAGCGCACCGCCGTGACCAGCCACCACAGCATCCTCAGCCTCGCTCATCCCCCGGCACCCACCTGAGGCCCCCCGAGCTCGTGCAGGGACAGCCTCTCCGCCGGTGGCCCCACGAGGGACATCATCAGGTGCAGGGATCCTCTCCTTGGCTTTCCTTTCCCCCTCAACCTCCGCGCTTGGGAACTTGAAGGCCACGTGTGTCACGCTGGGGGCAGGGGGGGCCAAGCTGCGCCGGGCTCCCCCCCAGCCCCGGGCCATGGCCACGGGCGCAGGCTCCAAGCCCCAGTAGCTGCGGGGAGCAGGGGGCACGGGGCCATAGCGGGTCCCCACCGGCACTGGCTCCTCTTGGATGTGCTCGTAGCTGGACAGACAGAGGTCCCGTCAGCCCAGCAGGACACCTCCTGGCTCCCGGCGCACCCCGGTGGCAGCAGCCCCCCTCCTCGCTGCCCCTTTACCTGCACCTCTCTCCGTAGCTGCAGAACCCGCTCTGGAAGTACCTGCAGGTCTGGGCTGATTTTCTGTCGTGCGAGAAGCGGCAGTTCTGGCCCCAGCGGCAGAACCCACGGGCGAAGTTCCTGCCAGCCGGAGAAGCGGCACGGCCGGGGTCAGACCCCAAAATCCCCCCGGGCACCACCCATGTTTTCAGGGCCCCCGGGCTCGTGGCTGTGCTCAGGAGCCCTCCCCAAGGGCAGACCCCAGCGGGAGCCAGGGCTCTCCCTGCCCCATCCAGCCTCCCCTCCTCCTGGCTAAACAAAGCCCAGGGCTGGGCTGTCCGGGGGGGCCTGGAGCATGAGGCTGGGGATCTCCCTAGGGCTGGGGGAGCAGGGAGTCCCACTGGAATATGGAAGGCATGGAAAGGGGCAGGAATCCTCAGCCCGGGGCTGGCAGGGAGGGGGGTTCCCCTTGGGGTGCTGCTGGGAACCCCCAGCTCCAGAGCAGGGGAGCCAGACAGGACAGGCCCGGTCCCCTCCATCCCCTCACCCCCCAGAGGATACAGGAAAGGGGGGTTCTGGGGCACCACAAACCATTCCCTGTCCCCAGAGCAAGGGATTCACAGCCCCATCTCCAGCCTTTCTCCCGCGGAAGCTGCTCCCAGCCTCCCCTTTCCCCTCAAAGTCCTACCTGCACAGGGGTCTCAGGCAGCCCCCGCGGGCCACCAGCGAGCCCGGCTCCATTTCCTCCTGGCCGCACGAACGGCTGGGAGACCTCCTGGGACTACTTCTGGCCTTGGCCCGTGTCCTGCTTTTGGCTGGGACAGAGTTAATCTTCCTCCCAGGAGCTGGTGCAGCGTGTTTTGGATTTGGGGTGAGAATACCGCTGATAACACACGGATGTTGTAGCCGTAGCTGAGCTGTGTTTACACTGAATCAAGGACTTCTCAGCTACCCAGACTGCTGCAGCAGCAAGGATGAGGGGGCCACAAGGAGCTTGGAGGGGACACAGTGGCGACAGCAACCCCCACTTCCCAAAGGGATATTCCAAGACCATACAGTGCCATGCTCAGGATATAAACTGGGGGGGGGGGGGAAAGCTGGCCGGGGGCTGCTGCTCAGGGATGGGCATCAGTCAATGAGCAATCACATTGAGCACTCAGGGGGAGACCTGAGAGCAGCTCTAGTGCCTGAAGGGGCTGCAGGAAACCTGGAGAGGGGCTTTGGATGAGGAATGTAGGGACAGGGCAAGGGGAGCGGCTTTAACCTGCCTGAGGGGAGACTGAGATGAGCTCTTAGGCAGAAGCTCTTCCCTGTGAGGGTGCTGAGGCGCTGGCACAGGGTGCCCAGAGAAGCTGTGGCTGCCCCATCCCTGGCAGTGTTCAAGGCCAGGTTGGACACAGGGGCTTGGAGCAAGCTGCTCTATGGAAGGGGTCCCTGCCTGTGGCAGGGGTTGGAGCTGGAGGAGCTTTAAGGCCCCTTACAACTACAGCTCTACTATTTTTATAAAGGAAGGGCTGGGGCAATGGTTTTCCCTGGGGGCACTCGAGGTGGGGCAGAGGGAAGCTGGGGGGTGGCAGCTGCTCCCCACAAACTCTCAGCTGTTGAGACCTGACAAATCCTTGAAATCATGGCAAATCCATGGAAATCACACCAAGTCCCATGGGAGCTGCTGCAAACCCTCCCAAAGGGCAGGTCCCCAAGGCGCCCGAGTGAAACCCCACACAGAAAAACTGGATGCTACACAGGTTCTTAAATACTTAGTTCAGATTTATTTAAAGTCAAGTCAGTTCGTGGACACTATTTATATTATTAAAAACACTTGGAGGTTGGTACTTCTAGCAAAAATATACATTTCAGTTTGAGGGTTGTTAACGCTGGCGAGGAGGGAAGAGCAAATGTTCCCCAGGTGACGAGCATGAGCCCCATGTCGGCTACGCTGAGGAGGACAAATCCCCTGGGATCCATCCAGTGCCTTCCCCCAGAGGGCTTCAAAGTGCTTTAGAAACGGTCATTCATAACCCCCCTGTGAGGTAGGGAGGGGAAAGGGAAACTGAGGCACGACAGGAGCTGGGGGGCAGCAGCAGGGGCAGGTTTGGGGCCAGCCAGCCCTGGGAGGGGACACCCAGAGCAATTCCCTTGGGGTTTTAAAGGAATTATTGCACCAGGGAAATCTGCTACCCTGAACAGGAGGAAAACAGAGTAAAACCGACTGATTTGCTCCCACAACCCCTCCTTGGGAATATCGGGATCACAATAAGGCTGCTCAGGACGTACAGGACCACAAGCTGCAGGTGGGCAGGTCCCAAGAGGGACTGAGCCCTTCCTGGAGCTCTGTGTCTCCCAGAGGCTGGGGGACAGGAAGCTCCTGTTCATCGTTGGCAACCCTTGGTCTCCCCTTTTATAAATCCTTGGCATTTCTACTGGTTTAGAGCTTCAAAGCTCTTTGCAACCAACACAGCACCTAATCCTTGCGCTCCTCCTCCGAGCAGAGAAGAGATAATCCAGCTCACTTTCACATAGGGGAAACTGAGGCAGGACAGTTAACAGCTCAATGCCCTTTCAGCATCACAAGCACTTTGGGCTGGCTGTGGCTCTCCCCTTGCTGGTGTTTCTGAAGGCTTTGCTTGCTCAGGTACTGACAGGGAGCTGCTGCACAACCCCCAGAGCCCCCCAGGCTGGCGAAGGGGCTGCAGGACAAGCCAGAAGCCCTGCACCTCACCCTGACCAGCCCCAGGCCTTGCACAGGCCTTTCTGGTAACTGACATCCCTGCAGGACAGCCTGGGGAGCACAAAGACTCCATCCTCTGCTCTGAAGGTGGGTTCTGATGAGCCAAACCCACCTCCTCGTCCCTCCGTCTCTCACATGGAGGTGCTGAGCAGCAGGATCCCTTTGAAACAGTGGTACCGGGAGCAAGGGAAGGCAGAGATCACACAATCCCTCTGGGAGACAGGAACATGCCACACACCGAGGGGAGGGAGCAGCAGTTGAAGGTCTCTGCTGGGACCGCACCACCCACCTTCAACACTCTGGCTTTTCTCTGGGATAGGGAGAAACATCCTTTCATTACACTGTCCCTCACGGCTCAGGACCACTTCGGAGTGCAATACAAAGGTCAAGACACATCATCAGTGCTGTGGCTGGCCCCAGCAGGTACCTGCACCACGCTCGGGTGTCCTAATGACCACACCATCTCCCACCATCCCCAGACTGCTGGAACCCCCACCATGTAAACCGCGTGGTTGCTCCAAGGAGCAGCTGAAGAGCTGGGCTGTAGTAACGGAAACTGTAGCTTATGATTTGCCTTTGTACATTTGTTAGTGTGTGTTAACGGGAGCCCTGGGCCTAGCAGGCGGTGGCTGATGGCGTCTCGCCCTATGTACCGTACGTCAGGGTCACGTAGAAAAGAGTTTCCAGTAGAAGAAATGGAAGACGTGGGGGGAAAGGTTTTCTTTGTTTCTGTACAAAGAGTCTTGATGGGAATCATGGCTTCATTTGCATAAATAACAGGTCCTTAGTACATGTCCTTGTAGATCTCCTGCAGAAGAGGGTGCAGAGATGTCTCAGTCTCTGTCTTCTTGATCTTCTGCACGAGCTGGGCGTGCTCTGTCACCAGCTGCCGCAGGTCTGCCATCTTCTGCAGCAGCTTGGGGAAGAGATACTGGGCATCCGGGTGGTTGGACTGCAGGTGGAACTCCAGCGCCCGCAGGATGTTATCCTGGATCTCCTCCACTTGCTTCACGTTCATCAGGCCAGGGCGGTCTGTGGAGAGGAAGCTGCAGGGTTATGGTGTAGCCCTCCAAAGCACATGCTCCTCCTGGGAAAAGGGAGATGGGGACTGTAACCCACCCACCATGACTCCAACCTCAGCAGCTACACCAGGGGAAGCGTGCCCTCAGCCAACACATCCCACAGCAGCATACAAGGAGGTGCCACTTCTCACTGCTGGTCAGCATGACCAGCAGGTCGAAGGAGGTGATCCTGCCCCTCTACTCTGCTCTCATGAGACCCCACTTGCAGCACTGCATACAGTTGTGGTGTCCCCAACATAAGAAGGACATGGAGCTGTTGGAGCAAGTCCAGAGGAGGCCACAAGGATGCTCAGGGGCTGGAGCACCTCCTGTATGGAGCCAGGCTGAGAACACTGGGGCTGTTCAGCCTGGAGAAGAGAAGCTGGGTGGAGACCTCAGAGCAGCTTCCAGTGTCTGAAGGGGGCTCCAAGGATGCTGGAGAGGGACTCTTCATCAGGGACTGCAGTGATAGGACAAGGGGTGATGGGTTCAAACTGAAACAGGGGAAGTTCAGGTTGGATCTAAGGCAGAAGCTCTTCCCTGTGAGGGTGCTGAGGCACTGGCACAGGGTGCCCAGAGAAGCTGTGGCTGCCCCATCCCTGGCAGTGTTCAAGGCCAGGTTGGATGGAGCCTTGGGTGACACAGTCTAGTGTGAAGTGTCACTGCCTGTATCAGGGGTTGGACCTGGCTGATCTTAAGGCCCCTTCCAACCCAAACCATTCTATGATTCTACACACCTTGCTCTCAGTTCAGGCTTGCCAGGCATCAACTGCCATGAAGAAGTGCTGGTTTTGGAACTGTTCTGTTCTTCTCCCACCCCCCTAAGGCACATCTCTGGCACCCCTGAGCTGCAGCTTAGGTCCCACAGCACATCCCAAACCACCTCTAGGTACAGGAGGACTCTTCTTGACACTTTCATGGCCAAGAGCACCCGCTCACCTCCGCACAGGATGATGGCAGCCACAAACAGAGACAGGTCACTGTCATCCAGCTCCAGCGCGTTGAACTTCACTGCGAACTCAAACTTGGGCTCCATGATCTCGTTGAAGGGCTTGCGCAGGCTACGCAGGAACTCACGGGTCACAAAGCCATTCCCATTGGCCACCAAGAGCCCATCCTTGTTCATGATAGAGGCCAGCATGGCAAAGATGGCCTCGTGCACCCCGTATTTCAGCAGAGTCACTTGGTCGTTCAAGTAGAGGCCTATGAAGCTGGGGATGCTCTTGGCAAACTCGGTGAGCTCCCGCACAGTCTCGACCGTGGTGCACTGGCAGCGGTAGAAGACGTGCACCCCGATCTCCTTGTAGGGGGGGATGCCATTCACTAGCTGCTTCCACACCAGCCCCTTTTCTGCCTGCCACAAGGTGTCCATGTCATGGATCACAAAAGGCTGCTTGAAAAGAAGCAAGCAGTTAGGAACACATTTATGACCCTGCTCATTGAAGGGGGGTTGGACTAGATGGCCTATGAAGGTCCCTTCCAACCCAAACTATTCTATGATTCTATGAACATGCTGCATGGAGTCAAGACACCAGCTCTGCCAAGGACACCTGCACTTGTCTGCCTGTCCCTTTGCTGTTCTCTTCCTTCTGGCGCAATCTGTACCCCCAGAACAGCACAAGTCTGCAGAGGAACAGGAATTTTCCCAGCCAGGGGCAGGATCGGTACAGCCCATCTGGCTGCAGCTGGGAGCTGCTGCATGGGGAACAGCCACAGCAGGATCCCCCAGAGAACAGCCCCCTGTGTTGGTCATGGCCAACCCTGCCTGCCCTGGTGAGGGAACTTACTGGGGTGCTGCTGGCCTTCCCGGTCAAGATACCTCTCGCCTTCTTTTTGGTCATGTTGAAGTTCTTCAGGTAGGCGTTGTAGATGTGCTTGGAGAATGCCTTCAGGTCGGCCACCTGCGGGTTCTGGCAGCTGATCTCACTCGCTGTCAGCCCTGCCACCAGCTTCCTCTTCTCTGCCTCGGGCATGCGGCCAAAGCGGATTGCTGGGGGACAACACCAGTTGGTCAGGACACTGGGGATGATCCAAGGGGATGCATCCAGGGAAGCAGCATCTGCTCTGCCACCACAGAAGTCTGCTGGTGAACACCGACACAATGCTTCTCTGGGGATGCAGCTCCTCCAGCACTGACACCTTCATGAACCAGCTGTTACTGCTCCTGATTACTCTTGCCAACACCAGCTCCCATCCCCACTCCTCTGGGCTCTCACACAAACCCCTTTTCCCACATAAACACCTTTACTTGCCCCAGAACAAGATGGTTACACCTGAAGCTTAAAAATCCCAGCACAGAAGAGCAATCTGTGTGTCCAGCTCCCTCTGGGCCAACCCATAAGGGAAGGCCACGTGCCACCAGCCAGCTGGCATGGTGGGGACAAACCACCCCTTCTTGTGGAGAAGGGGATGAAGAGGCAAAGCATTGTGTTTGAAAGATGATTCCCTTAGCAAGATGACAGCAATGGGCTAAAGCAAAGGCACATAAAACCCCTCACAGAAGGGCAGGTGGCCCCTTGGCACCCAGCAGTGACACTCACCATTATGGGACATTCCCAGTGAGAGGCATTTCTGGAAGCGGCAGTACTGGCACTTGTTCCTGTTCTTCTTCTGAATCTTGCAGCTCCTCTTGCACTTCTCATACTCCAGTTTCATGCGGATCGTCCGGCGGAAGAAACCCTGCAGGTGGTGGCACAGAGCAGGGGGACAAGGGAACAGCAGTGTTAGCACCTCCGGCTGGGGACAAGGGGGGGTCTTATCCTTAGGAGCCTCATGGGGGTTCGGCCGGGTGGGGAGGAGCAGCCCTGGCTCTCTGACACAAGCAGTCTCCACCTCAAGGAGAGGTTGTGTGGTGGGAGAAGGGGCTGCAGAGGAAGGGCTCTGGGTTGGTGCTGGGAGCTGTGGGTGTGATTCTGCAGGCAGAGAGGAAGGCAGGGACAAGCGAGCCCCAGCCTGCAGGAATGTCTGGCAGGGCCTGGGCCCAATGCAGCCCCACTGGCATCTGCTGTGGGGGAAAGAATTTCAGAGGCGCATCCAAGCTGCGGCCAGAGATCCCAGGGGGATAAACACACAGCTCACTGCTGAGCTGCAGCACAGAAAGCATCTTTAACAGCAAAGCCAGGGTCCCCACGGGGACAGGCAGATTTGCCTTACAAAGTAAATCATGATGGGGCAAGATTTAGGCCTTACACATCTCAGCTGCCTCCCCCAGGCCAGTATCTGTCTGCCTGTACTCTCCACACTGGCTGCAAATGATGTTCAGCCTGGAGAAGAGAAGCTGTGTGGAGACTTCAGAGCAGCTTCCAGTGTCTGAGGGGGGCTACAAGAATGCTGGAGAGGGACTCTTCATCAGGGACTGCAGTGACAGGACAAGGGGTGATGGGTTCAGACTGAAACAGGGGAAGTTCAGGTTGGATCTAAGGCAGAAGCTCTTCCCTGTGAGGGTGCTGAGGCGCTGGCACAGGGTGCCCAGAGAAGCTGTGGCTGCCCCATCCCTGGCAGTGTTCAAGGCCAGGTTGGACACAGGGACTTGGAGCAAGCTGCTCTAGTGGAAGGGGTCCCTGCCTGTGGCAGGGGTTGGAGCTGGAGGAGCTTTAAGGTCCTTTCCAACACAAACCATCCCATGGTTCTAAGTTTCTAAAATCACTCAATCCTGCATCCCTGTTTTGCTGCAAATCTGCTGTCTGAAGATACCATGGCCCCAGGGGTCAAGTCCCTGCCTGGCCCAGCCCCTCACGCACCTTGCAGCCCTCGCAGGCGTGGACGCCGTAGTGAAACCCCGAGGCTCTGTCTCCGCAGACTCTGCACTCCACGTTGAGCGCTCCCAACGCCGCCTCCTCGCAGCCCATCTGCAGTTGGTCCGACAGGGAGGGAGAGGAGCTCTGCGAAAGGTCTGCAAGCACACAGCAGGTACATCCCTTTGGGCTGCAGCCACAAACCCAGTGTTCTGTCCAACTGGGACTGCCAGCACTGTCCCACCCTGCCACTGGCATTGCAAGTGGGCAGTTAACGTCTGAGATCAGGCACTCGCTGCGGGCAGATGCCAAGCACAGAGCCAAAAGTGCCCTCGGTGTGAGAGACATCAAATCAGTGCTGATTTCTCCCCTCTGGCATTTGTGTCTAGGCAATGAAATCCAACCAGCAATGTTCTAATCCCCAGTTGGCAGGCGGCTGGCACAGGGCTGCCCAGCTGGGAAGTCCACGGCTCTGGAGGAGCATTTTCAGTAGCAACAGATCTTCCCACTTCAGCTCCTACAATCAGTTTGCACTGGGGACTTCAAGAAGTAGCCAGGGAAGCATTCTCAGGCACCCTGGGAGTCCCCTCACGTTACCTCCCTATCCTTTTAACTTCCATCTCCTAAATCTCTGGCAATGGCTGTGCAGTGACTGCACAGAAAGAACTGAGCCTCTCCCTAAGCTGGCCCTCAATGCATCTTCTTGTAAGGGGAAGAGATTAAAAACAAGCCACCAAACTCCGTTCAGGGGCAGGTCCTCTGCCCTTGCAGCTGAGCATGTGGATGCCTGGATGCTCCCAGGGCTCCACTCACCTGTGTAGCTGCTCGAAGGCAGCGAGCTGTCTGGTCCTCCACTTGCGTCTGAGGCTCCGCCTGCCACCATCACTGCCTCTTCCTCTTCCTCCTCCTCTTCCCTGACCTCAGGTACTTCCTCCTGTAGTTGTTCCATAATTGATCACCCCTCAGTGCCAAGGCTGCAATCGCTGTCATAGCTCTGGCATCATCCGCGTCTATTCGAGATGGACCCTACCAGGCTGTTCCTGTTAGCCTGTGGGAGAGAGAAGAAAGCACCCGCTGAGCACCCCAGCAGCAGGGCAGTATGGCACCACACCAGGACCCCTCTGCTTTCCCTCCTTAAGCCAGGGAGACAAGCAGGACCTTTAGAGGTCACTTTACACTCTGGTACAAACACTCTGCAGGCCTCTAGGAAGCAGAAGCTCACTGGAGCTGTATTTAAAGCCCAGCAGACAAAGCCCAGACCACAAACCAGCCCAGGCATCACGCAGGGACCTGCAAGTCCCACAGCAGAAACACTGCCCCAGACAATGTCCCGTGAGCAGCCAGCACCCTGGGGTGGCACAGTGGATGCTGAGGCCAGGTCTGACAGCACCAACACCACCAGAAGGATTCTGATAGAGCTGCCTTCACCCTCCACCCCCGGAGCTTGGAGGGAGGGCAGCAGCCAACCAGGGCACAGCAGCTCCGTGTGGGTGGGAGATGCTGGTAGAGCCAGGCTCAGTTAAGAGCAGACAGTGGCTGAGAGCCCCTGGCCTGTGTGAGCCATCTGCAAGCCTGATGCTCCCTGTCACGCTCCTTCCCATTCCAGCGCTGCCAGTTCCACCAGTTGTGTTTATTTCCACTTGCTGTGCTGTAACTGGCCTCGGCTCCTGTGCCAAGAGCTGGGTTCAACGCGTTGCTGCTGCTCCGAGCAGCTGCTGGGCTGTGCTCAAGCAGTGTGATCACAACAGCAACACAATCCAGCCTGTGTCCCAATCCCGGGTTTCCTGCGGGAGGAACGGCCCCGTCCCCCCTCCTGCACGCTTCCGCTCCTTGTTTGCCTTAGTCCATCCCAAACAGCCCACAGAAAACTCAAGCTGTGTGAATGGTGCATCCCCACTTCCCATCTCCCTCCTATGCATCCATGCTGGATCTTGCCTGAGCATTCACCTCATGCCTCAACATCCCAGTGCTCATCTACCTCCAGATCTTGGGTCCTAAACTGACTCTCGCTTGAATAATTAATATCTCAAGCCCAGTTTATGTAGAGTTGCATCCAGTTCCTGAAAGGAGCTATTTTTAAGTGGAGAAATAGCCACTGAAATCCATCTTCCACCAGGAAAGCCTCAATTTGCATGCGTTAAACTGATGCAGCATCCTCGAGCCCACAGCAGAGGGAAATGAGTAACCTACTCACAGGGAACCCGCACAGGATCAGCCTCCAAGCACCAGGATGGTCTGTGATCCATGCCCAAGCCAACACCACAGCACTGGCCTTGCCGGGGATAGGAGCAGTGAGCCCAGACTCCCTGGGCTCATTTTCCCTCCTGCAGCAGACCCTCACGTTGGCACTTGGAATTGCGCCACAGCCAGCTCCTTGGACTCACTGGAAAGCCATCAGCAAAACCTGCAAGCAGGAGGCTGAATGCAAACATGTCCCAAAGCCAGGGCACAAGTCACCTCTGGAGCCTGGGGCTCCTGCAGGAGAGGGGGCTTTGCTCTTCCCCTCCACACTGGGAATGCCAGGGGCAGGGCAGATGGCTTTGTTTCCAGGAGAGCTATGTTAGAGGCAGCCAGCAGCCCCCTCAGAGCAGGAGCAGGCAGAGGGGTGCTCAGACAAGGGCAGAGCACTCCCTCCCTGTGCCTCCACAAGAGCACTGAGGGACCATTGAAGGGCTGTGTTATCCTTGGCCTCCTCTCACACATCCCCCATGGTGGGACATGGCACACGGCAGGAAAAGCAATTCATGGGAGACGGAGGGAAACGAGCTCCATGGGTTTGAAGGCTATATATAAATGAACGTACAAACATCAGGAAAATGCTTGTGCCTGGAAGAGCAGTTAGCGAGGGAAGCTTGCGGCAGGAGAAACTAGGCTACAGTGGAAAATACAGCCTGCAGCAGCTTCACAAGCTTCTTAGCAGCTCTCTTTTGTCTCTGGCATCCAGCACAGGCCACTTGCTATAAACCCAGTACAGATGAAGCCCTCTGCTTCACCCCAATTGCCACTGGAACAAGGTGGACACATCACTTTAGCGGCATCCCTGGCACACTGTCCTCCATCCGCCTGACCTGCTCAGGGCTGTGCGCTCCCCAGGGTGGCAGCAAGTCTGCAACACACAGCTTACACTGCCAAACCCACCAGAGCAACCCCAAAACCGTGCTGGGGTCACTGCCTGGAGACGGGGGGGCAGCCCTGAGAGGGCAAAAAGCAGGGGCTGGGATGTTCACAGAGTGCAAGGCCAGGCTCCAGCTAAGACTCCCCATGTAAATGCAGGCGTCAGGGGAAAGATAAGGATTTGGATCCCACCCTTTGAGAGCGGACCGAGCCAGAGAGAGAGAAAAGCTTCTACCAGAAGGCTCTGAATGTATTGTTTTAGTATCTCCTTGCAGGCCAAGAGTGCAGGGGCCTGGCCAGAGGGAAGCTGTGAGCACTGTTTGCACACCTGCCTTTCCCTCAGCCATTCCCGTTTTCTAAACACACACAGAGGGAGGGAAGAGGGAAAACGGGATTGATTCCACACAGGAGGCTGCACCCCTGCCTTGGGGCCAAGGCAGCCACCGCCCGGGTGAGAGGCAGGGCACAGGCTGTGCCTGCACCCCAGCATGGAGCCAGCCAGCATGGCAGGCACCCCCCCCCCAAGAGATGCAGCCCCCAGCCCTCCCCTCTGGGCCAGGGGCAGCACATGGAGGCTGTGGGGCTGTGCTGAGGTTTCACACATGCTCCTCTGCTCCTGTGAGCCCCGTGGTGCAGAGTGGGGTGTCCTGGGAAACCAGAGCTCCCCAGAGGTTCCTCTGAACTCTGAGCATGAGCACAGCCATGGGCAGAGCTGTCACAGCCCTGCATCCTTGTGGGATGCTGCTGGGGATGGCAGAGGATGGCCAAAGGGCCCATCTCAGCCCCAGGACCGCTCCATCCACTTGGTGCCTTCGCATCCAGCTGCAGAGCAGGCCGAGCCAGAGGAGGGATGACTGTCTCCTCCCCTTGGCTAAAAAGCACCAGCCAGAGCACAGCCCAAAGCTTTGAGCTGCAGCACACAGCCTCCTCCTTTTCCTGTTCATCAGCTGTTACAGGGCAGCGATGGGAAGAGGATGGAAACATGGACATGGAACGTGAATTACTTCCTAAGCGCCTCTGGAGAATCCAGCAAAGCTGTTTCCTTTCCTCTTCCACAGGATGGAAATGAGCAAGAGGGCAATCATCTCGTGACTTGCTCTGCCCTTGCCTCAATCCGCGTTCCAAGGAGCTTTGGTAAGCCTAGCAGAGGCAGCAGCCACCCTCCGGGGAGCCAGCAGCAGTGGGGCTGTTTGCTGGCTCTGGGCTTGGGCAGATGCCTGCTCCCATGCTGCAAAGAGCACTGCAACAGGTTTATCTTCACTAGAAGTGGGAGCTGGCATCTATGCCAAGCTAAACCATACAGCAGGAATGGGGGAGAGACACGGCACAAGGGGAGGAGGAAAGAAACCAGGTTTCTCACCAGTGTTCCTGTCCCAGTGCAGCGTCACAAGACGGGGACGTGTGTTCTAACACAGACACTCAGGTGCTGGCAGCCAGACAGCCCCAGAGCCAAAGCAAGGAAGTGCTTGTAATTAGAAAGATCTCATCTTTAACCCAAGTGTAGTTTCACTGGTGGTGAGCTCGAACAAGAGGTGATTTTGGTGTGCTCACTGGCCAGGACACATGCTCCCACTCCCCTCCAAGAGACATCCATTTGTTTCCAATATATTTACCCAGATGGGATTGCCCAAGTCCCCACTGCAATCTGGAGGATCATCCAGTGTAAGATCCCACCCTGGAAGATGGGAGTTTCCAGGCAAAGCAAAGTGCCAAAGAACAGGTCCAAACCTCCCTAGGGCCAAGTCACAGAGCTGACCTGCTCAAAGCAGTTGTTCAAGTTACTGGAAAAGAGGTCACCAGGAACTGCAAAGGGAACCAGTTTATGGCAGGAGCACTTCCAGCCTGTGTTTGTATTACAACTCCTGGGTTGGAGTTTTAGCCAAATTCCCGGTCAACAGAATTGAATCCCTTTGGAAGGGGCAAGATGAGAACACAGCCCTCTGTACGCTTCCCATGACGCACAGCACATCACGAATCCACAAAGAGACATTGAACTGAATCCATAAACAAAATGTGATTGCTGCTCCTTGGCCATCACTTGCGGACGTCCCCTGGGATGTGTCACAGCTTCCGATAGCTGCAGACCAAGTACCTGTCTCTGTTCCTCCTCCTCGACATCAGCTACTACCAACAAAAGCCAAATAAGAGCTAAGCAGATGCTGCAATAGAGGAAAGGTAACTTGAGCGCACCGAAGATGTTTTTGTTTCTTAAAGATCATGAGCTAATGAGATCTCAGCAGCACTTACTGCCCAAGTGCTTCCCCCCTTACTCACAGGCCTCAAGGCAGACTACATCAGCTGGGGTGGAAAAGCCCTTTAAGCTCATCCAGTCCAACCACTGCCCAGCACTGCCCAGGCCACCCCTAACCCATGGCACTGAGGCCTCGTCTCCACGTTGTGTGAACACTTGCAGGGACGGTGACTGCAGCCCTGCCCTGGGCAGCCTGTTCCAATGCCTGAGCACCCTCTGGGGCAGGAATTGTTCCTCAGCTCCATCTAAACCTGCCCTGGGGCAGCTTGAGGCCGTTTCCTCTTGTCCCATCCCTTGTTCCTTGGGAGCAGAGCCCAGCCCCTCCTGGCTCCATCCTCCTCTCAGGCACTTGTAGGCAGCCATCAGGTCCCCCCTGAGCCTTCTCTTCTCCAGCCTGAACCCCCCAGGTCCCTCAGCCCTTCCCCATCACACTTGTGCTCCAGGCCCTGCACCAGCTCCGCTGCCCTTCTCTGGCCCCGCTCCAGCACCTCAATGTCTCTCCTGCAGTGAGGGGCCCAGAGCTGAACACAGGATTCGAGGTGCGGCCTCACCAGTGCCCAGCACAGGGGCACAATCCCTGCCCTGGCCCTGCTGCCGCACTGGTGCTGGTACAGGCCAGGACGCTGGGGGCTTCCTGGCTGCCTGGGCACAAGCTGCTCGTGTTCAGCTCCATCAATCAGCACCACCAGGTCCTTCTCCATAAACAGCTTTCTAGCTGCTCTTCCCCAAGCTTGGAGCGCTGTTGGGGTTGTTGAAGTAACATGCAGAAATAAACTCAGAGCCAGCAAGGAAGAGCCCTTCCATGTGCCCCTGGCCAGTGTTGACAGTCGGGGCCAGACTTTCCTCTTGAAGCATCAGCTCAGGCATTGTACCATGAGCCAGCCCAGTGCCATGATGTTCTCCCCAGTGCTGGCTGCATTTCACCAAGCACGAGCCCTGAAGGCTGAGCAGCAGGGTGCTGCCAGAGCTGCTATTGCCCTCTTGCTGCCCAGGGAACTCAGGACAGAGGGTGCAGGAGATTCCCTCACTTGCCTTGAGCAGCCAAAATGAATCACACATCTACCACATGTTTTAACTCACCCACTTCCTGGACACTGAATGGAAAACAAAACTTACAAAGGTTACAAAACTCGCTGATCCTTCTCTTTTTGCACCACAATTGCTGCTGTCCACAAAACAGAATCACAGCTCCAAAATGAACTTCCTGCTTTCTTGCCTGTGCTGAGTTTCTACAGAAAGCAAGAGGTATGGTAAAACCAGAAGCAAATCAAACTTTGGGCAATGAATTCATATGTAGAAGGGAGTCTGACAGGCTGCTCTGCTCTTTATTTCATCCTCCAGGAGCTGCAGGCACCCCTGGCACAGCAGCTCCATAGATGTACTCAGAAACTGGGAGAGGGTTAATGCTTTCACAGGAATCATCCCTACACCTCCCATTGGAGGGAATCCCTGCTCTCTTCATCATCTGAGCAGCTCTGTAGCTGCCTTTAGCAGAAGGGGTAAGAGCATGGTGGGAGGTGAAGAGCTGAGCAGTTGTCAGCTCTTCTCTGAAGTCCTTCTTCATGACCTCTAGCAAATTCCATCAATCCCAAAACCTCCATTTCCCTCATCATCATAAAAACCCCCAACAACCCAACCCCCACCCCCAAAATAACCAAACCCAGGACTTTGAGTGCTTCCTTCCTGGCGCTGCGTTAGCTCACAGCCACGGCATGTTTTGGATCCATCAGTGCCAAGTGTCATTGTTTGTTCCCCGCTCACGGATTTGGACCCCTGTCTGCAGTCACGCTCCCAAGCCTGGCCCAGGTCAGCTCAGCACACTGCTCGTGACCCCTCCTGTTGCACGTTCCTAATCCAAGCGTTGCCAGGATTAAATAAACGAGCACATCTCCTCCTGGCAATTGCTGACCAATATTTCTGGTTTGTTGTCAGCTCAGAACAGCCCAGGACGCCCATGGGCAGGAGGGGAACGTGGCTCTGACCTGCTGGAACAAGGACCACAGCCAGGAGACAAGCAGGTATCAGAAAGGTGACACCAGCAGGGCTGCTCAGAGCTGGAAACTCATTGAAGTGCTGCTATTTGAGAAGATCATTAAGTCTGGTAAGGAGAGAGGCTCATCCCACTGCACTCCAGTGGTGCACTGGCTTCACAGCAGAGGTGGCTGTGAAGCCCTGGCAATGCTTTGGGAACAGGGTTGCAAACAGCATACATGGAGCTGGCACAGAGGCACAGAGCAGCTTGTATGGGGCTGCAGTGATGATTGAGGGTCTAAAGGGACTCTTGGACCCACAGACCTTGCTCCCATCTCCTGGTAGGGACCCACCAACCCAGACCAGTGGCCCCTATTTATGTTCTTTCAGCAGCCTCTGCTGCTGTCCCACACGTGCCAGCTTTCACATTCCTGTCTCTGGAAGTGCCACAGAAGCTGTCTGGGATATATTCCCTTTACCATCCCGAAGGTGAGCCTGTTGGCAGCTCAGAGAACCCACCACACCACTGTAAACTGATACTTTCCACAACTTCTTGCAGTCCCCTCACACTGTACTCCAGGGCACTCTTTGCTTACAGACCCCTTGTCCTGAACCTGAGCAGGACACATGGAAGGATACAGTTTCAGGAACATCAGTAATTATAGAACAGGGCTGACGAGGGAGGAGCTCATGGGAAAAGCAACACCACTTCCCAAGGCAAACAGTGGGCACAGGCTGTTACAGACTCCAAGCAGCATTTCAATGGAAAATGAGGAAAGCAGCAAGTGGAACAAGTGCAAACAGGAGCAGTGCTGGCAGCGAGCAAGGCCATCAGTTGGCAGTGCTGCAGGTACCAGGAAACATTCTATTTTTGCCCAAACAGTGTTACTGGGACACCAGCAAGTGTCACCCCAGTGTCTGGATGGGGCAATCAGCTCCCCAGAAAAGCAATGAAGGGCAGAAAAGTAGCAGCTGGCCAATGCCACCCTCTGGATCATACATATGTGTGCAGGCTGCTGCCTGGAGCCAAATACCCAGTAAGGTTTACAGTTAGGCTTCCAGTGCTCCCAGATCCAGGAAAACACCCACAAAATCAGTAGCAAGACAACTTCTTCTCTGCCAACTGTGTGTTCGGCTGCACGCCCAGAGCGTGAGCACAGCTCATGGAGGGGATCCTGCCCCTCTGCTGTGCTCTGGGGAGATCCCCCTGCAGCCCCGATCCAGCTCTGGGGCAGCAGCACGAGAAGGATGTGGAGTTGCTGGAGCGAGGCCAGAGGAGGCCATGGAGATGCTGTGAGGGCTGGAGCAGCTCTGCTCTGGAGCCAGGCTGAGAGAGCTGGGCTGGGGCAGCCTGGAGAAGAGAAGGCTCCTGAAGGGGAGACCTGAGAGCAGCTCCAGTGCCTGAAGGGGCTGCAGGAAAGCTGGAGAGGGGCTTGGGACAAGGGATGTAGGGACAGGCCAAGGGGAATGGCTTTAACCTGCCAGAAGGGAGACTGAGCTGAGCTCTTAGGCAGAAGCTCTTCCCTGTGAGGGTGCTGAGGCGCTGGCACAGGGTGCCCAGAGAAGCTGTGGCTGCCCCATCCCTGGCAGTGTTCAAGGCCAGGTTGGACACAGGGGCTTGGAGCAAGCTGCTCTAGTGGAAGGGGTCCCTGCCCATGGCACGGGTTGGAGCTTTAATGTACCTTCCAACACAAACCACTCCATGACTGATTCTCTTTGCAGTGACAGAGATTTTAGATCTCTGGGCTAAACAGTAAAAACCCCCATAACTAGACAAGAATCCTCCAGCCTATATGCAGGTTTTGTCACACTTACATTTGGACTCCCACAAAAGTGCTACTGGTTTTGTAGACCTTAGCAAAATATCCTGGGCACGCTGCTCTGCTTCCAGGATGTGGCTGACAGTGAGCAATTATGCTCAGGCCCAAGTTCAGATGACTCAGCAGGGCCTAGGAACAAATCACTGTGTTTGCTGCATCTCTATTTTAACCACAGAGCAAGGAAAAAGAGCGAGTCTGACTGTGAACATCTCCATACGGAAAACCTCAGAGAACATTATATTAGCCTTGTTACACAAACTAGCTCAACAGCCTCTTAGGGAACTACAGGGGAATGATGTTTCCCGACTATTTTTGGCTACATTCACACAACCAGAGCTGACTGCAGAAGGAGGTTTCCCTGTGTTTTCAGCAGCAATCCAAGCAGCAATCATGTCAGCAGCATCCTGCCAAGACTCCTCTGCCAGTCAGAGGACCACAGCGCGCTCTGACCATTTGGATTTCCACCTCTTTAGAGGATCACAGTGTGCTCAGCTGGATTTCCACCTCAGGGCCCAGACCCCAAACATGTGAGCAAAGCATTAGCATCTTTTACAACATCCTCATGTCTTTGGCATCATCTTGGGGGTACAGATAGAGCAGGCGAAGTACACAGCCAACAACGACCACTTCCTAACACAACCAGGTCAACCAGCTCCTGGGAGCTCAGCGGGTTCCAACAGCTCTAGCTCATGCTCATCAACGACCCTTTTCCAGAGATTCCCATGTCCTTAAGTCCCACAACACGCCACAGTCATGAGAACCCACTGACCATCAGCCCTCATGGATTTAACAGCTTTCAAGGTCCAACAGCTCCAGCAGAATCCACAGAAACAACTTCAAGGTGAAAAGCAGCTTTAGGCATTTTCAGAAATATTCCAGACTGGCATTAAGATAGAATCAAGAGTTGCTTTAAAAGAAAACAAATGTTTGTAAGAAATGGGGCAGGACAGGAATTTGAGGCTCCCAACACTGAGGTGGCTGCACAAAACAGTGCTTAGTTTGAAGCCATCTCACCCATCCTCTCTTTGGCCTGACCAAGCCCTTCCTAATGAGACATTCATTAGTAAAGTTTGTCCTAATAGACCATCAAATAAATGCTTCCCTATCAGCTCAGGTAAGAAAGCTTATCTGCCTTTCTAAACCACCAGAGCTGTTCCCCGTCTCCATTCCACGTCTCTATTATGGGCTTGAATGTGCATG